ACTAAAAATAAAAATATTTCTAAACCACTTATTATACTTAAAATAAAGCTGAATTTAATGAATCATTTTTGAGACAAGAGTAAGCCATATTATTATCATAATAGTCATTTCTAGGGTATTTCATCGTAGATAAAAATTTGTAACAATTGAGCAACATATTTTTTTGTATTATTTTAACATAATTAAAAAATATGCCTCAAAACTAGTTAAAATAATTAAGTGAAATGTCATATTTTTCAGAAAAGATTAAGCCATATTATTAATCATAATATTCATTTCAAATATATTTCATCATAAATCAAAATTAGTTTGAAACATTGATGGATTTAATTAAAAGGACAATTCTAAGCTACAACAATACACATAAATTAAATTTAGTATTATTTCCAATATATTTTTCAGAAAAAATTATGCCAAGAAATATTAATAATCATAATATTAATTTCAAAATAATTTCTTCATTGTATTAATTTTGAAGAACTTTTAGTATAATTACAACTTTTTTTTTCATGTAAATGTTTAACAATATATTTAATACATTTTAAAGCATACAATTGGCATAAATATTGAAGCTCTAAATATAACATTAATTTCAAAATGATTTCATTTGTGCGAGAATTTTTTATGACTAAATATACAAATATCACAAACACAAGAGAACTAAAAAAAATTGTTTATTTTTTAAAAGTACATAATGCACACATTATTATGTCAAGGTAAAAATTAATCATCTTAGTTTAAAAAGTGCAACATATATTAACTTTCATGAATAGTATTTTAACTTACTTGGTATGGTGCATATTGAGGTTGAGTTGGATAGGTTTGTTGTGCATAGGCGTTTTGTCTAGTATCATATGTAGCACTGTTATAAGCCGCTTTTGCTAAAACATAAATCAATACTTTAAAACAAAAAACTAATAGATGTTTGAATTAAATTAATTAAAAGTGTGTATATATATATCAAAAAAATGTTTAAATTAATATAATGTAATGGTAAATGTTAACACATACATAAAATATATGTGTGCCAATAATTTGAACATACCGTAAGCAGATTGTGTGGCTGCAGCAGTTTGATAGGATGCTACATCATATGCAGTTGCAGCAGCTCGAGGTGTTGTATAAGTAGCTGGTGGAACTGCATATCCTGCTTGTGGTGCAGGCTGATAGCCAGTAGCAGTACTAAATAACAAATAAATATTATAAGAATAATTAAATTATAAATTGTACTAACCATTGGTTCTAAAAATAAGAAAGAAATTGTATTATTATTTAATAAATACATTCAAGTTAAATGTAAAGTTAAGGATTTCAATATTAAAGAATAATACGAATAAGTAAAATAGAGACAATTATAAATGAATAGTAAAATCTATCAGGATATTAGATAGAACAAGATACTTAAATTAAATATAAAAATGAGTATTGAGAAAAAGTATGAGAAATATATTAGAGATCAAAATTAATTTTAAAAAAGATAAGTAATACAATTTGAAGATAAGCAGCAGAAGATACTAGAAAAAAATCTTTTATTTTATTGATTTAAAGAAACCTAGTGAAGACTGTTTTATCCGTGATAAAAAGCTGAAATATTGAATAATTAATAAAAAAACCGAACAGAAAATAAGTTAAACAAGTTACTACCACAAGACATCAGTACCTAAATAAATAATTATAGGAATGATACAATGAACAATAATATTTATTTATTTGAATGTTAGAATTAACAATGTTAGAAAATGATAAAAATAAGGATAATTATATGAAATATAGTTATATTAAGACAGTAGGAATATATTTAGAATTTCTAAGAGAAAAAAGACTATGGTACAAATGTTTAGAAGAAATTGCAATGTAAACATAAAATGTACAAAATTATTAATATTAAATTAAACATATTATAGTAGAAAATGAATTAAATGTATGCATAAATTTATTATTACAGATAATATGGAATAAAATGTTATATTAAACATAAAAAACAGAAACTACAAAAATATGAAAAGCCGAGAAGTCACTCAAACTGATATAATTGATTAATGCCCATCATAATAATAAAGTGCAAAATTATAAATAAATTATAGTCAACTTTCAAATATGTTTAAATATTTCAATGGTTCCTAAAATAGTTAAAAAGTAAAGCATCAGTCTCTTAATCAGTCTTTATAAAAAAAAAGAAATGTGAGAAATAAAAAAAATGTCATAATTAAAGTTGGGACATGTGGTAAAATTTGATTATTGTAATTCAAAAAATGCAACACGTATACATAAAATGTATGCTCAATATACAACGCAAATGAACTATGGAGACACATAGAGACAAAGTGAAGTTTACTTAAGTTTATGCTATTATATAAGTAGCAATTAATAAATAACTAAAGGTCGATAAATCAATAATTTTCAAGCTAGTAAAACCAACAATATAAGCCAAAATACACGTTAAATAAAAATGCCCCAAAAATAGTAAGGCTATTTGGATTATATGTTAAGATGAAAAATAAAAAAAAATTCAACCGAAACAACTGACAAGAAAACGCATGTCACGCTAGCTATTAGAGTTGGAATACACACGAAAACGCATTAACTAACCTAAAGGAGGACCACCATCAACAGCATACGAACTACGGGAAACGTGCGTCGTAGAGACCTCAAAATGGACTTCATCGAATTTTCACGAAAAACCTTTAAAAAATGAGTACAAATTGATTTTAAGGCTAAGATTCCCCTCCCAAACCTTACACGACGTCACGACCTCCATACTAGAAATGTAGAGCACGATCACGGGTGACGAAAATTAGAAACGGACACAAAATCGTTGTGGACCGGTTGATCGAAATCACAATACCTCGTGCGCTTAGTACAATTAAGGACTTAAAGACCGACAATTACGAGTTACTAACGAGTACTGGAGGTTAGTTAGGTTGGGCAACCGCCGGCGGCTGATGTGGGGAAAATAACGTGACGAGGACTAAGTGTAGGTGCTAGTTGACGTGTGTAGTGAGAATACTTACGCGTACTGGGTGCCTCCATGAGCGAACCCGAAATAGTTATTGGCGGCCATTGAATCGCGGACGGATCGATTTCACCGGGAAAAATTGTCGAGCGATGACTGAAATAGGCGGTGGTGGCCGCTCAACAACGCATCACCGACGCGACCGTGAGGCTAACCGTATACCGGTAAACGCACCGTGTAAAAGACGCCCGCTACTAACAAGGATAACGGTCGGCGACCAAAATGACGTTTTTCGCACGCAAAACGGGAACGGCAATGTTCACAGCAATTCGTCAGTCGGCAACCGACATAAAATGGCGTAATAGCGTCACGTCTGTCATCCGTGTTCGTCCGGATCCGCCGGCCAGTAGGAGGGCTTGTAGACGAGACCTCGCTCACAGTGCTACCAATAAAAAGGTCTACGGTAAAGCCAACCAAACGCGTTGTTCCACGTCTGCTTATATCGCGGAATTACGATTTTAAATCTTGAATAGGTTTATTATCCTGTGAGCTGATACCACTTATCACGATTTTTATCTTGGGCCCGCGGCCGGGCCCTAACCCAACTACGTTGGGGTCTGTGCACAAAAATTATATCCTAGCGAATATGTTATCCGTACTATTTAGGTAAATTTATTCTGTGGTTCTACACTAGAAATATTCCAAATTTTAACAGCGACACACTCGTTGTAGGATCTTGTATTAATTGTTGGTGTCTAACGAAATTAGCCGATTTCAAAATGAGCAGCAAAGTAGTGAACGAGAGTAGTATGTTCTATATGGACTTCTGTCCCAATTGTTCCAACATATTACACTTGGACGAGTATATGGGTGAGGTGAGACATAAATGCCAAGTATGCCCATACTTCTCACCCATCAAGAACGTTACACTAGCCTCTCGGTCGTTTTACAAACTGAAAGTAAGAATAGTTTCTAAATCCAACATATCTAGTACATTAACAAATTTTAAATTAATTAATATTTTTTTATATATATGTACATTTAATATGTGTCAACTACTTGAGTTAATATTAATCCATCCTACAGCTACAAACTTTTATATGATTCATGTTTTTATATACTTTAAGAATTCTGTGATTTAAGCATCTACCATTGATGGGGGTCTTGTTTTTATGCTAATAATTTTTTTAATACATAGAATGTTAAAACTTAAATCATAAGACAATATAAAATATTTCATATTAGATGTTTATAGTATCAGTAAATAAAATATGTGCTCATTTTAAAAATAATGGTATTCTTTGTTATATAATATGCATAAACTTAGTATTCTAAATATATTTTCAACATGACATTTTAATGTCTTAAATAATATAATATATTTAATAGTTTGAACTATATCCATTATTTTCTAGATTAAATGAGTTTAGTTGATATCACTACTAAGAAAATTACAATTTTCACCATAGAAATAAACTGTTAATTGTTAATTATAGTAAATTTAGACCCGTTAAAAACTGTTAAAAATTCTTCTTGGCTATATATTAAATTATATATAAGTAAACAAAACTATTGAAAATTGTCCTGGTGGAAATCATTCCATATGCTAGACTAACCCAAATTAAAATCTATGATATTTTACGCAATTAATTGCTTTATAACCACTATGGTTTACTTACATTTTACAAATGAAAAAAATAATTCTGTTGTATATGTAGAAAAATAATTGCATAAAAGGCAGTTTTTCTTGTTAATTATATTAAAATAAAATGTTTACCCAAAATTGTAAGATAAGGGTAAAAATATATTCTTACATTTTTAACATATCTATTTATTTTTTCATAATATGCCTCAGTATTCTATAAATTATTAATGATAAATAAAATTATATTCCTCATAAATCAAAAAAAAAAATTAAATTTATTGATTACAGATTTACTGGATAACAATATCAATGTAATATTACTATCATTTAACGAATAATTAAACAGTAGAATATTTCATTGAAAATGTTCTAAGAACAATTTGACTGTAATTAATCAATTTTAAAATATGTTTAACCATATTTTTATTTTTCAGGAGATTGATTCAGTCTTAGGAGGAAAAGCTGCTTGGGAAAATGTAGATTCAATTGATGTAGTTTGTAACTCATGTAATCATGGTAGAGCATACTTTTTACAAGTTCAAACTAGATCAGCTGATGAACCTATGACTGTTTTCTACAAATGTTGCAACTGTGGAAATAGATGGAGAGAATAAACTTTTTACAAAAAAAATTGATATTTATTGAATTTAATGAATGAAAATGAATATTGAAAAAAGCTTGTAAATATTATAATGAAACCCATTCTTTAAAAATTAATTATAATTTTATTGTTTAACAATCATTTTATCATTAAATTGTATTAATTCTTTAATAACAGTAATCATAAAGAAAACAAAAATGTGTATTTTGAAAGAAACTTTACATAGGTTTAATGTATTCAGCCATATTCATAATGCAAAACATAGAAATTAATAAAAAATAAAAATCTTTGAATCAGAAGAATACAAAATAAAACTCACATCTCTATGATTATATTCCATAAATAACAATAAAGCATAAGGTTTTAAGAAATCAGTCTCGTATAATATGATGACCTGAATTTGCAGTCAGATTTCGGCATTCGTGTAGGAGGTGATCTACCGGGGGGTGGGTGATCTGCGAATTCAATACGAGTGATCTATGTTTTAATAGTATAAAAATGTACTCGGCGTGTATAAACCTTCAACCGAGTAGATCGGATAGTGAACTTATATGTCACTCGGCCAAACAAATAAAATACATGTAGACGCTGACTCGGTCAATTTCGGTCCTAGATCAAACCACATAACACGAGTGATACGGCCGAGTACTCGTCACGTGTAAACAAGGCATAAATGGCATTAATCATTATCGCAATACGGTCCCACTCCAATCTACGATAATGTGCGTACAATAATAGTATAATATAATATAGGTAATAATAATTGTAAATCACCAATGCTCGACTTAAGGGGGGACGGAGTACCCCTTCTAATTTTTAGAAATTTTAGCGTCTCCCTACTATTAATATTTAATAATTATAACGATTAACAAGTTTGGGGGACGCAATTTTTTTTTTTAAGCAAACAGAGTCCCCCTTCTTTAATTTTGTCAAATCAAGCACTGTAGATCAGCAATTACACCTTGTGTAAAACGGTGGTTAGCCTACTACACGAATGCCCAGATTTCTATAAACACCAACAAACCGTCAGAAATCAATAGACATGACAGTCCTCGGAGTCACTAAATTCTTAATAAGTACTTGAACAAATGATTGACAAATAACAACTGTAATAAAATATTCATCATAGATCTCCGTGGAATAAAATAAGCACAGTCAGGCGACACCCTTGTCTAGTGTATGATAAAGTTTACTTTGACTGCGTGTAACGTCCGATGTCGAATGACAATCATATCAATCACGTCTGCAGTGTAGGTACAGCCTAAGTCGTATAACAACATAAAATTAATTAGAAAAACTTCATCTACACATTATCATGTCACTATTTAGTACCTAGTCACTGTGTTGTGGTGTAAGATGTGTACTTAAGGTCTGTTACACAAGTATTTTTTTTCTTAAGTAAAATTAAAATGGAAATAGTAACTTCAAGTAGTTCAGATTGGGAAGAGGAATTAGAAACTGCAGATGTTTTTAGTTTTGGACGAACAAAATAAAAAATTCACTCGATCGTGCTGGGTACACGATATTAATAAAAAAAGGTCAACATTGGGAGAATTCCATCGTCTAGTTCAAGAACTACGAAACGATCCAAAACGATTTCACATGTATTTCCGAATAACGAAAGAATTTGATTATATAAACGACATTATTGAAATATATATTTTTCTAAATAGACTAAATTCGTGATGACACAGAGTCAAAAATGTGTGTGATGTTAGAAAATCAAAACATGTTATCACGCGTGAGCTAGGAAATGTGACGTGACACGCATGAGGTGATATTAGTGTGGCGCTGATACATTAAAATACTGTATAAATCTATATATCACACTTTTTTCCGTGACGTGACAATAATCTGTTCCGACCTTTAATATCAGATACGATATCTGCCTGGTTATACGGGATTACGAAAATAACAGGTTTTCTCACAAATCACTATATAGCTGCAAGCCTACACAGTTTTTATTTATTAATTTAAAGACTTGTGTAGTTGTGTTTATAACCTACTGGTTACTACAATTACTTCATGTTTTAATAAGAGTAATTTTAGCCATAATACATCAGTATTAAAGTGAAAGTGATGAAAGTGATTCAGAACCGCATAATGCATCTTTCTCGACTATTTCTCTGCAAAATGTTAGTTTACCATGGTCTAATTACTCCAAATATTTTTTTACAAAAATATTTGAAATTATTCCTAAGACTTTTTTAAAGTATTTGAAATACTATACAATTAAATTATTTGAGTAGTATCTTAAATACTTGAAAAAAAAATGTAATTGAGTATTTACTTGAATACTTTTTAAAGGTATTCTTTACACTACTGCTTATGATGAATGTACATTCAATCGATGACTCCAATAAAATAGAAAATTATCTTAATAGACTTGGTGCTTGGTGCAATAAAAATGACCTAAGATTAAATACATAGAAATGTGCAAAATATTGTTTAATCACTCTGGGAAAAAAATAAAATATGCTTATCCCATCCTTGAGATAAATACTTAAAGAAGTCAAAAATGTTAAATATTTCGAAGTACTCTTTCACCATAAGTTTTCATCTCATAAGGAAAAAGTAGTCTATTCTAAAACCCTAAGAAATTTCAATTTTTTAATTATAAATACAAGGATGAAGTGTTTCAAAACATAATATGCCTCAGATGTCAGGTCTATATTTTAATATTGCTCAATATTATGGAATTCATCTAAATAAATTCAACAGTCTTTTGAGTGTATTTATAGAAGATTTTTGTTGTATTGGCTACAAATGGCAACATATTTTTGATGACCTTCCTAGACTAAAACACAGAATAGATTAAATTGAATATAATATTCTACTCTGCAATTATATAACTGAAAACAACTCAAAAGTTTCCACTTGCAATGTTTGGATACTAGACACAAACATGATAATCTTTTTAAATTCAAACTTTTAAATGGAACTTTATCTTGTTTTGAGCTTCTTGAATTAGTTCAATTTCATATCCCTCAATACATGTATCTTTCCTGTCTAACCTTAACATATTCATTACTGAAAGTTTGGCACCCCTGAAGTATCTCTTTATGATCCCCTAATATTTACCTATATTGTACAATATTTTAATTTCTAACTATTTTACTACAGATGTTAATACCTTATTAATTAATATTATTTTGTTCTATCTTATACTTCTTATATTTTAATATATTCCTTATTTTGTGTTTAAGCCAACAAGGAAATTTAAATAAATAAATAAATAAATAAATAAATAAAATATAATATTAAATATACTAATTAAAATATAAGACTAGAATGGTTTCACACTTAAATTACATGTACAATAAAAACATAAAAAATAAATTAATTACTTATTTTAAGACAAAAACTTATTTAAATACCAATGCTCTTAGCTATCAAACTTAATTGGAATGACATTTTTAAAGCTGACCCCACATAAAAAAAAAAAACATTTCAAAATAATAATGAAATAATGAGGTTTAAAAGAAATAGAAGACCATAAAATTATTGAAATAAAACTAGTCGTGAGATACAAAATATTTGTTAACTGCTGAACCATCGTAACATATAAATTTATTTCTAATACAAAAATGAACGGTCTCTTTTAATATCTACCTACTTTAAATCAACTAGATAAAATCTTTGGTATTGCCGACAGTTATACTCGACAGTTTGTGCAAGGCAACCTTTGACCAACTTGAGAACTTCAGGTTTGTGACCTATTGGTATGACATTTGATTTTTTTCCTGAATGTATTTACGATTATTCTCATTTATAACCGTTGGTATAGTCAAAATATATATCACACAGTACATACTTATACCGTATTTTTTATATATTTATTTTTATTGACCCTATAGATACACTTGCACAAAAGCACACACAGATTCTGTGCACATAGGGCACTCTTGCATGTCAGTTGCACATTTAACACATGCATACACATGTCTGCAAGGTATAAATGCAGTTTCCATTTCTTCTTTGTGACAAACATTGCAAAGCATTTGGTCTTTTGGTTCATCAGAACACTGTGATGAACTGCATGGTAAATCAATTGCTGTCTCTTCAGTCTTGTGTATAAATACTCTCATAGCCATACTAAATTGCTGTCGACATACCGCACAATGATCTAGAGTCATAGAACACTGTATGCAGGCAATTACGTGACCGCAAGGAATAAAAGCCACTTTCATTTCATCTTTGTAACAAATCTTGCAAAGTAAACAATCTGGAATTGTACATGGATCTACTGGTTGATGTTGTTGCTGTTGTTGCTGTTCATGATTATGACGCAAATTTATTTCAGCTGTTGTTCCTTGGTTGTTATATTTCTTATCTGATAGATAGGCTCTAAAATAAAATTAAGAAAATAAAGTTAAGCATGTATTAATGAAATAATTTGACACCAAATTATGTTTGATTAAATAATCATATGTATCATATTATTAAAGAATCTTAAATTGATTTAGAACAGTACGAAATAATTTGATATTTTTATTTTATTTAATAACAAAAATGTTTAATGATAATTTGAATTATAATATGAAATTTAAAGTTTATTTGAGTTTTGATCTGGGAAAACTTAATAAATTCAGATGGAAATTAAACAAAAAAAATTTTTAACTAAAATGAAATATGAACTTGAAAACAAATGTTAGATATGATTTAATTGATTTTAAAATTATATAAAAAAAAATATAAAAATATACATTAATAGTATCAAACTTAATTGAAAATACATAGGTTTTATTATCTCATACACAATTATTATATTTAAAAAAACAATAGTTACATACTTTGTTAATGTGAGTTTTATTTCTTCCGGATAACAGGAATCCATTTTATAATCTGCAATCAACTTAGGTAAAACCTATAAAATAATTGATACGTAAGTTTGGAAGTTTTCAAAAAAGTAACTACATCAATTCTTGCCTCATGATTAAAATTTTCAATTTTTAAAGCTCCACATGCTTCTTCTACAAATGTTTTGCCTTTACATAATAATACATAACTACAAGTTGGTGACCACCGTGCATGTTCTGTCCATGGTTCATCATTATCTTCCCAGTCCTTTAGACCTTGACTACAACAGAAACACAGCATCTGATCATTTTGACCATCACCTGTTATTAAAATAAAACAACATTAATACAAACATATGGTCAATTAAAATTTAAAATATTCTATATTTACCAATATAAAAAAATCCAGCTTCACAGAGTGAATGAGTATCTTGTTTCATTTTTTTTTGGCATTTATCAAATGTTTTTAAACGTGTTTCAAAAGAAGTAAATTCTTTATGTTTAGGGGTTGTAATCTGCTGAACAATACCAACAGCGTTTAAAAGATCTTGTACCTTCTGAATGCTTAAACTTCGATAACTTTCAATAATAGGACTACCAAAAGGACCACAAACATCATAACCTGCAAAAAAAACAATTTAAATTACTTTAAAGCATAGAAAATTTTACTATATAGATTTTAATAATATTAATAATAATTATATTTTACAGTCTTTATCAGATTTTCACATTAAAAAAATAGTTCTAAACAAATCAATACTACATAAAAAAAAAATTTAGAATAAATCAATTATCTTAAATATATTTTATTTATCTTGAATCCTTAATAGTAGGATACATCTAAATTCAAACCTATTGTCCAAATAATAATAGAATTCACTGTTTCATTTGACCATAAATCACAATAAAATGTGTTCACTAACAACTTTTTTATAGGATATAGATTTAAAATTGTCAAAAATATTTAAACACTTATTCCAATCTAGACTTATAATGATAGTACTTACAAATTAAATTCAATCTTAATTTAAAATCTTATAGTTCATTTTTTATTTATTTATAAAATCAAATATAATATAATGCATGATGATATTGAAATTTACCTGAACTTTGACTGAAAAATGGACATTGTGGAGATTTTCGTTTATGTTCGACAAGTGGGTCATCACCACGTTGCCAATAATCAAATTCTTTTGAACAAAACATGCATCTCACACGGTCCTGTTTACCCAAGTAATATAATCCAGCTTCAGCCATTGCTTCAGGGGTGATAAATTGTAACTTCCATCCATTATTAAAAAAAAAAGTTCTTAAACGATTTTCATATCTTGTTAAATCCCAAGTAGGCGATCCAGAAGTCATAGTTAATCGCTGAGGATGGCTAGTAGTTGGAAGAGGAGGAATTGGAGAGCATGAATTTAAATTGATTGTATGACCATTGGTCACATGAATGTCACTTTTTACATGTTTTGAAATATTTCCTAAATTATGTGTGGTAGCCTTATGATTTGGAGATGGAGTCATCTGTGAAGAAAAAAAAACTGATTAACCAATAAAATATAATCCAAAGTAATGTAAATAATAATAATGACAAATATATATATCAAGGTTTCTTTTTGGCTTATAGTACCTAACATATTTAAATTTAAATATAAAGGCATTCTGTATAATTTACATATCCTATAAATAAAATAATTAGGTACTAATATATCAAATCAAAAAAAAAGTTATAATAATAATTTACATTTAAATAACTTATGTATTTAGCACCAAATGGCCACTGCTGCCGATGGTTTTTTTATGAATAAAAAAAAATTATTTTTATTTTAGTAACTCTATGCTTTTATTTTAATATGATTGTATTCTAAATTTATTACATAATTAAATATTAAATGTTAAATATATTCCTTCCTGCAAAATCGGATACACCAATGTATTATAAAATCCTACAGTCAGATTATTATTTGTGTTAGATCTGTTATTATGCATTATTTAATGGCGAAAAAGTATTGTAGTAAGACAACATATGATGGAAGTGGTGTACTGGACTGGTGTGAACATTTTTTTACTGGATGATATCATAAATTTATATAACATAGAATATAGGCTAACTAATTATATAACAAATTATTTTCAATTGTATACAGACTTTTACAATAAAAATTATCTGTACTATATAAACAAAATAATACCGAGACATTTTTTTTTTTTTTTTTTTAATAGAAATAAAGAAATAATTTCAATATTACAATTAACTACAAAATAACAAAGAATAAAATGAAAATAATTGATTCAAAATCAAATGTAATCAATAATTAATAAAAAATTAGAAATAAAAACAAATTACTCATAGAAATTACTGAAGTAATGAAAAATACTTAAATTTCAAAAAAAATATAAGAAACTACAATTGCATTAATAATTATTCGTTATGTAATAAGAGTAATAATGATGTTGATACTATTTTTTTAAGTTTCGAGTCAAATCCAGCACTATCAAATTGTAAATATTTTAGCATTTTATACTAAAGATATTCAACGCATTGAGATAGAATGGCTTTCGAAAGATGTAAAATAAAAATTAATTCCAAAGGAACAGCTGATGGTAATACTAATAAAATAATATAATCATTAGAGTTCTATTATGCACACACGCACAAGGATTGTCCAAACAAAATAAGTTTAGATCACGTACTATTAAGTTCCGGAGTTGGATCGGAAAAACGATGTGATTTATAATAATCATGATCAACACAAATAATTTTTCCGAGGAATCGCTCGCAGACCATATGCAATAGTCAACAAAAATAAACCGAAGTCGGACAATGGGCGGATAGATCACCGAACCTATTTTAAGACCGAAAATGTAATAAACATAATACACTGATTATTTGTTATGTTTCAGATGTTCATCACGAATGTCTCGCGTACGAGAAGATATAGGGAATAAAAATAAACAGATCAGCCACCTCCCTCCACGCAGCACCGGAAAATCAATGGGTCAATTAAAACTATTTTAGGCATCTTAATCGGTGAGGGGAGGGAAGAGATATCTCGTTATCGGGCCATGACGTCTGGAACCTGGGACTTCCGGTGCTCGGAAGATAACCCGAAACCGTCGTCATAGAGAACAAAAACGATGAATGGACAAAGATAAAAATATTTTCGGAGAAAAAACCCGGGTGTCCCGTAAAACTACCTCACGCCACATCACCATTCATTTCCGTTCACCGGACGGCCTTTTACGGACACGATAACCTTCGCGCGGAGGCGATAATTAGTAGTTGTGGCAACCACACAGCCAAATGGCGAGAGTAACTAATACTAACAATCATCTACGTTAAATAATATTATTTACATTTTCGTGTCGTCGTGTATATACCTTGAGAGTGTTTAATTTGTCCACTGTCTGAACGCGAAGTGTACGCGCCCGTGCTTAAACGTCAATGGCGGCTGCGGCGGTGACTGAAAACGAGTGCACTCGCAAACAAAAATGTATATTTCAACGCGGACGGATCGCACACACGTAAATCTGATCACTGCTCGCACTGCACAACGGCGGACACGCGTCTAGTACTCGACATGTTAGTCGGGAAAACAGCAGTGGACGGGGGAAAAAAAAAAGAAAAAAAGCTTCGATTCAAAACAACAACAGAGGCCGCGTCGTCGTCGAACGAGTAGCGCTCATGACGGCTGACGGGGGGACGGGGTGATGGGTAGATGATATTGAGTGCGGTAGCGACGAAATGCGTTCACGGGACAACGGTCTCGGCTCTCGCATTCGGTACTGAGAGCGAGGAGTGTGGTCGCTGTAAACGCGCAAAGCCGCCGCCGCAGTTCCACCACGCCGCCGCAGCCGTCGGCATCGACGACGGAATATACCCCTCTCACGAGCACAAAAAGCAACGCGTGGAGCACGAGCGCGGCCTTTCGGAGAACCAATCCGCGACGGCGGCCGAAACGCGTGACGGCGACCGTGGAGAATATTTTATTATTATGTTTTATAACTATTACTATAATTATTATTGCGCTATACTGTTATTATTATTTACCACCGAAGCTTTTCGGGCGGGGGGAATGAACAACGTCGATCGACCTCGAGCCCAAACCTACGAAGTGGGAATCTTATACGCCATGAACCCTGCCCGTTGGGCTTCGCCTTCTCCCCGGCAGTTTTGATTTGGCTACCCCCAAAACGTCAATGACACATCGCAAGCCTGAAAACCGTCCTTTTAGCCCTGCGAAAAAATTTTCATTTCGGTCCGTTACGCACCATTGTACACTACTACTTTTGGTTATGCTCATATCGGGGACACTCACGGAAAGACAATCATTTGCTTGACTGCTGCTTTTACCTTGTTCTGCAGAGGTTTTCCGTTTTTTTCGGTTTGCTTCGGTCTTTGTGTTTTTCCCGGTCGCGCTTCCAAACAAGGCGTCTGGAACTTGACTACGTTCGAAGCCGCATGAAAATAAAAACTCAGTAAAGCGTTATTCGATTGTTTTAAATAAAATACCCGAAGAATGCACGTTGTACGAGTCGTGTGGTTATTTGTGCCGATAATATTTTATAAATTTGGTTAGAACAGGAGTAAACAAAATTATAATCGCATAGTTTTTGTCGACTAAGACCCATAGATAACGTCATATCGCTGTTAAACTGTCATTTACACAATACGCACGACATGAATCGCCGAGGCCGACAAAATTGATTCGATCATTCGACATTCCGCCACGTAAATTATATTTTAAGAAACTATTACAGAGTGATATTGAACTAAATAATCCGCTAAAGGTCATTTAGGCTAAAGAATGTTTAGTAATTAATATTTACCTTCGGGGTTCAGTAGTGCCTATTTACAATGACTGCCACTGAAAATTTGCTCTAGGTACGTTCAAAGTACATAAGTCTTAAATTTAAACCGCTTATTTTAATAAAAACCCAACTTCTTTTCAATTAGTACTACGAACAATTTAATGGAAACTTAAGTTTGTTAGATATTATTAATCGTGTGTAAGAAAAAAATAGAGCTCAAATTATAAACATTGATTACTGATCTATTATAACTATAAACCGTCCGAAACATATTTTGTTCTCACGCGTAAACACATGCCACATACGTTATTCACAATAGAATCAAATGAATCATAATATTCATATCTGAACGTACGAAATTCAAAGTCCTAAAGATAAATTTAATGTAAGACAACAACCAAATAAATCCTATTATGAAGGAGCATTCGTTTTGATGATTTGTTCATTTAGACACAATATATTTATATATTTTTGTGTGTGTTATATCAAACCATCAATTATCTTTCAAGGTGATAACTATAGATATAATTGCATTCGGATAACAGTTCTAAGTATAAAACAGGTATGTGATAAAGGGTATGTATGAATGATGAGTTTAATTCATGATTTTCAAAATTCAAAATAGAAAGTTTACCAGGCCATGTGGCGTTTATGGACCTTATCTTGTTTCCCCTATAAAAAAAAAAAATACGCGATAAAAATTAAACGGCATTTTAAATGTATTTGAATTTTATAATCAAAATTACAAAATCCACCGAGAACACCTATGAGATCAATTGACTCGGTATCCTACTTTCAAATGAACAATATTAGTGGAACACTTAAAAACACTATAGCTAATTCGATAATAATTATGATGATAAATTTTCCAAGTCATAACAATACGTTTATGAGTTTTAACCAATACTGTATGATGTCACACATTTTTAATACAACTCATTGCTCACAGAATATCGAACATGAACTGCGTATGCTAGAACCTTATCAAATCACGCATATTTGCTGAATTAAACGTTCGGCCGTCCAATTAAAAATCAATGTAGACGAAGTAGTACTAATTGCAAAGCCTGATTTATTTTTAATTAATTACGTAATGCATATGTAATGATTTGTCAAGCATATGGTTACTGAACGCGTAGAAGAATATCGAATAACACAATTTTAATAACTTGATCGAACAATATTGTATTCTACGCCTTGATGGGGCGTAGAGATCTATTCCACTTTTCCTCCGTAAACATCGATCATTACGGAGCATTCATAAGATTTCACACAAGGCGAAATATGGTATAGCAGTAAATGCAGAAAGTTAATGGTTACGGTTTTGAAATATATTTTCCACGGTTAGTTTAAGAGACGGGCACATAGAGACAACCGTCGCGCACTCATACCGTATCCCCCCGCAGTGTGAGGTAATGGCGACTATAGCGACCTACCGCATAGCCGCCTGGAGGGGTAAAAGAACCATTCAGAAATGTTCGTAATAAATTCGTTGGGCTACCGTTACAGTGCTGCCACGTTTCGTTTTCTGCGCACCGAGGGAATTCGAATTGGATGGATGCATGGTTTATTTTTGTGGTTATATGGTATATCATATTCATATTATGGAACTGCTGGGCCTTGAACACCGGAAGTCGGACGTGGGAAAACGCTATAACGTACCCGTGTAATTAGAACTCGTTAATATTTCATTGTTGTTTACCAACAAAAAACAGACCGTCCGGAACCTTTTAAATGTTATCGTGAAAACTCGGAATGTGGACAAATATATTGTATTATGACCAGATGAGGTTAGAAGTGTTTAGACCACATATTTTATAGCTGGAAATACGTTGCGCCACGTAACAAAACATGGAAATGAAATAGTTGTCGAGTTGTTAATCACAAAGCCCTCATATTTGGTTGCACGTTTACACCTATCTACGTTCATTAACATAAATTGATAAACATATTTATTCTCGAATGGTAGACCCAACACAATTAAATTAAAACATTGGTTACTTGAATAGCTGGATCACTGATGTGCCGTTGGGTGCATTATTTTTCGTGTTAATGCTACTCGTAATACTCATATCGAATTTGATATAAAAACATTACGATTCTATACGGGTAAATGACCCACTATCTTATGGTAATTGGTAAAACCTGAATAATATACACATTATGTTCAATTTCCATACGATCTATTAAATATTCTTCAACTACACCCGATATACGTGAATAACAAATGGGTATAATACGATACTACGAACGTGCGTATGTGCATGACATTTAAAAACAAAACATACACAACAATTTTTAGAATCGCTTCAAGACACTTGAACAATACGAAAAAAATTAGAATCCTATCTCAAATTACATTTAAGCCACAGTCACAATCACAGACAGATACATGGAATGTTACTCTCTGAGTATGATAATACTAGTGTGTTATACAGTGCTCTATTAGGAGATATTACTATTAGTAAAATACTATTCAGCATTCGTATACGAATTGTTATTTGGGCATATTTTTTTTTACATACAATTTGTCGAAATGTTTTTGTTTTTGTTCCCCTTGAAACCCGGGGTTCATATTATACTGAAATTCAGTGACTGTATATTTTACTGCCTCATTACTCTTAAATACGAATTTATCTAAATAAACCAAAATTAAATAATCTACGTTTTAGTCATCTTGAAATTATTTCCATCAAAAATATACTACGTATGATTTGAGAAACTATATCGTTGAAATAAGAACAGAAACAAAAAGAGATATTGGTTATCCTATTTGAAACTCCGAAGAAAGTGTTCGGGTAAGTGGAATCGACGTAAGAGTCATCCTGTCGTTGACCTGCTCCAACCTAAAGAGAAACGAATGTACAAGAAAAAAGACTGCGTAGTAGTCGCATAAAAATCTGTTTTGCGGTCTTATGGAGAGAAAGTGCACGGTTGAGCGAATGCTGAGTTTGAAATGTGTTAAACTCACCAAGGCGGCGCTTATATATAATAGCTAGGACACGAACACGTTATGAATATATACTACACGAGAAAAACCGCTATAACAATGGCGGTGGGGACAAAATTATAATATTTAGTTATAACTTAATAATGATTAAATTAAAAATATATATATAAATCGGTAAACATTACAAAACGTTCGAAGAGATATAGATAATTAGATTGTAATATTAATGGCACTCAACACTTATATACATTTGAAAGCAATGATAAATGATAAATATTATACTACTTTATACAACTGTTACTCAAGTAGTCGTAAATATCTTGAATCAATATCCTGTGTTTCTAAGTCTTATACCTAAGTCAGCATTATGTATTTTACCGGTCTAATTTAAATTCCAATAAAACACGATGACTTATGACTGAACATTTTTATTTCCAAAAATAAATACACATAACAATCATCATTATTCAATAAAACGATGAATGTTGTCTTAATTTAAACTCTAAAAATATTTTTAAAATAATTGACCCAACTCAAATCTTTCGATGTTTAGTATTAGGTAAAATACCTTTATCAAAGGTATTCGCGTGCGATTCCTGATCAGTTCTAGCTGTACTTAAATTCGAATCCGATAATGAACACTATTCAACATTTTGATCGCAGAAAAACAAACATAAATACTAACTATATTTGTACCAAGATATTTCTCAATTCACTCACCGAAACTTAATCTTAAAGAGTACCGTAATGTAATGCGGCGACCGATTGCCGTTAGTGGTGGTCGAGCCAAAGTCTCGTGTACATATCGACCTTGTGCCTCTACAATACGAGTTTATTTTCGTACTCAACGTATAATATAATGCGTTATGATGCGCTTTTCTGCAGAACAGCGATATTATTAGGGAACCTTATCGTATTTCATTTGTACACGAACGTAGTGTGCTCGCGAGTCTTGATCGACACACACCACAGAAGGGTATTTTCCCCTAATATTGGGACTCGTATTAGCGGAACAGATGGTGGTCGACTACATCGAAACATACGGACGTAAAGTATGGCGCAT